CACTATTTCCTCACTAAGTGACGGGAAACTGTTTCTTTAGAAAATAGTGCACCAGTGGCTCAGGGACCTGGAAGGACTTCACCCTCACTTTGAGGAGAGGCAGGTGTGGGTGGCAGCTAACACCAGATCTGTATAAAGCCATCCTTTCTGCTGGACCTGGGAGGCAGGACATCTAGGTCTTGACCTTCCAAGCCAAGGAGGGACAAACAGTTGGGCTCAGGGGGCAGGAATATGCAGCCATCAAGGGCAAGAGCCACGTCCTGCCTCAAGGCCCACAGTAGGACCCCCTTCATTCAACCCGTTGGGGCCCCTTTGGGAGCATGGTAGGGTGCTTCAGGAGGAATGACCCCAGCCACAGCTCTCCACAAGCTCTCAGTTCAGTTAAGGAGACAAGCAGGACTTTTGGCATCTCTACCGGTACAGGCCTTGGAATGGAATGGTTAAGGGCACCAGCCCCACTGAACCCCAGTTTTCTCATCTGTAGAACAGGGTCAATAACAACAAACTTGCAGGGTTATGCTGAGGAGTGGACAAAGAGGATACACCCCAAAGGCTTAGCCATTTCATTACCTCTCATGGATCAGGGTCTTGTCCATGTCCTGTGGTCACTTATTTACCTTTTCAGAGCCTCAATTTCCCTTATCTGTCAGACAGGGACAAGGAGAACTGTCTTAGAAGGTGGTTGTGGGAATTAACTGACATAAGGGGCATAAAAGCACCCAGTTCAGAGCTTCACAGTTGGGCCAGACAATTAAGGGTTCCCTCAATACCCTACTCAGGGGTATCGTGCTTTCTCTGCCCACCATCCAAGATCAGTGGGAGCAGCTGCCCACTGGGAAAGCAGGAGAGAGGAGGCCCTGGGCTGACGGAATCTTTAGGAGAGGAAGGCTCCGAGCAGCAGGGCTTCAGAGAATTCAGCCAGGTTTGTGGGGTTGGGAGGGTGTTTCTAGGCAATGGACAGACACCCTCAGTCTTCCATCTGTGGGCCCTAATAGAGCTGGCTCTTAGCAAACTCCTTCACTGGGTGGTGCCTGGACCAACCCATACCCATCTGGACAGAAGCACAGAGCTAAATATACCTGATGTAGGTGAAATTTTCCTTTATTAATTTCCTTTAATCCAGTTTTTAAAGTAAGTGAAAAAAAATTAACAACAACCAAAAAAGGCATACAGAGGTCAGTCGAGGAGATGGCCTCCTTCAGCCTACGGCTCGTTTCCTGGTCATCCTGGCTGGTTGGACGCCAGACAATGGCGAGTGTGGGTTACCCTGTGGCCTGGAGTTGCCAAAGGCTGTCTGTGGTGCTGCTCTTCTGGGTCCGCCTGGCAGACTTTCCCATCCCTTTCCTTCAGGCCGTCATCCCCCCCAACCCCCACCCCCGTGAGGCTGACACTTAGAGTGCTCTGTCCTGCTCTGAACTCCCACTGCTCCGAGTCCTGCCCCCTTGAGCCCAGAAGGGATTTGTCTTGACCATGACCGTTTCCTTGTCAAAAAAGTTCATGGGGGCTTTCTGCCTCTGCTGCTGCCAAGGCCCCTGTGAAAAAGCTTGTGGCGAAGGGGGGCAAAAAAAGAAGCTAGTACTGAAGTTTACCCTTGACTGCATCCACCCTGCAAAAGATGGAATCATGGATGCTGCCAATTTTGAGCAGCATCTCAAAATTCTTTAGGAGAGAATCTTTAGGAGAGAATCAAAGTGAATGGAAAAGCTGGGGATCTTGGTGGAGGGGTTGTAACAATCAAGAGAAGCAAGAGCAGGATGACTGTAATGTCTGAGGTGCCTTCTCCCAAAAGGTATTTGAAATATCTCACCAAAAACTATTTGAAGAAGAATAATCTACATGATTGGTTATGCGTAGTTGCCAACAGCAGAGAGAGTTACGAACTGCATTTCTTCCAGATTAATCAAGATGAAGAAATGGGGGAAGATGAGGATTAAAATTCAACTGTCTGGAATATTTTGTATGAGTTCTTGAACAAAACTTGGGAACAACAACAAGAAGTTCATGTCTGTCTGAGCATCTAGGCCACTCTAGTGAGATTTCAACTTTTATTTATTCCACGTTTCCCAGGGCAGAAACGATGATTGCTAGAATCCAAACACCAAGGTCAGCTGCAGGGCCGTGAGCCCTACCTGGACCCACTGTGGAGTAAGAGTGCTTCCCTGTGAATCATCTTTTGGAGACAGAAATGAAAGGTTTTACACAAATGTCTACCTGAACAGAATGTGGTGTTGTTGCATGGTATCACATGGGATATCCTTTCTTCCTGCTACAGAAGTCAACAGCAGAAACTCTGTTCCCCAGACCACGGTCCATATTGACTGAGAGCAAACTCATCATCTTCCTCTCATTTAAACAATGGCTGTGTTGTCCTAGTGCCCAAAGGTCTTCTTAGTTGAACTGGAAAGACTTAAGGGAGAAGCAGCAGGTGGATGAAAACTTCTCTTCCTTGTGAGTGACTTAGTTCTGCCTTGGTAACTTGGGGCAGAGGCTGCCTCACTTACCTCCCAACATAAAGTGCAGATGTTTTAAGGCTGGTTGTATCCACACTTTGTGCTGATGTGAAGTTTCCCCCTTCAGTTTCACCAGAATCTTTAGGCAGTGAAACTAAAATGGCACCTTTTGCCAGATGTAGCTGATACAAACTGTTCAGTGGGCCCACCATGTACTACTCTGACTCCCTCCCTCCTTTTGGGAAAACTGCTATTCCCTTCTTTCAACCATCAGCTTCTCTCTGAAGCTGCCAACCTCAGGCCCCCAATCCGCAATGGGAGAGCGTGTGACATAAGTTGGCCAGTGTCATCACATCTGCCTGGAAATGGTGATTTTGGCAGAGTGGAAAGTATGTGACCCAGACTGGGCCAATCTGGGAGATGGAGACTTTGGAGATGGAGAAGTGGCTGCTCCCATCCTTTGTCAGGAAATGAATGCCATCGAAGAGATGCTGAGAGAATTAGCAGTGAGAAGCAATGGAGAAACGAAGAGTCCCTCTCTGTGATTTGTTTACTTAAAGTAAAACCGACAACTTTTTAGCTTTAAGTTTTTTTGAATTGGTTTTCAGTCACTTGCAATTGAAAGACACCTGAGGGAAAGATTCTGGGATAGCTGGAGGCCCAACAGCAGAGGTTGGTGACATCCATAACTATGTATACCCTTTCTGTTTGTGTACAGACATACATTCACACTGGCTAGGTGTAGGCCAGGGAGCATGCCCTTAGAAGGAGTTGATTCTATGTTTGCTATCCAGAAAGAGGGGGTTTGTTAAAA